TTTAACAGATATTCACATAGAAAACGGTTCTTTTAAATCATAAAAATATTTCACATTTGACATTTGTAAGTTGGAAACAAACAGCACAAAACTAACTCTTCAATTATTTCAGAATGTCTGTGGACAGTAACGGCACAGTAGCCTTATTCTAAAGACGCTGTTATATTTTTATGCTTAACAAATCAGTCTGCTTTGGCCTCAAAAAGCTTTCACATTTTTACATTCTCAAACTGTAACAGGGATTCAGTCGTGGTGCAAAACTAGGATTGTACTGCCATCTAGAGGCCATTCGATTTACTGCAAAATCACTCTGTACAGTTCTACAACAATATGATCCACAACATGATTTGTCTTGTTTAAATGGCTCTTTTTTTTTTTTTTTTTAAATATGGAGTCTGTTTTATGTTATTGAGTGTGATTTCATCCACAATCCTACAAAGAACAGTAGTCTTATTTTAATAAGCCAAGAACGTGTCAGATCTTGTAAACACAAGAGCACAATCTGATGCCTTATTTTTTTCAGTTTATTTAGTGTTCTCGTTGTCATCTGTTAATGTTTTCACGTCAGGAAACTTTCTTGCATTGTCAATTGATTATTGATACCTGTTATAATATCACTGCCGCTCAGATGTTTAATAGCTGTTGTTGTGTGTTGCTCAGATCAGATGCAGGGTACGGTCACGCTGAGGAACATCAGCACCAGCACATCTGGACTGTATCAGTGCACGGCTTCAAACGCCATCGGAAAGAGCACCTGCGTCCTCAACCTGCAGGTCGTGGCACGTAAGTCTGATTTTTATCTTTATTATTTTCCCAGATTCTATTTTTCCATTTTAAGTTTTCCAAAATTCTGTTTTCCATTTACATTTTTCTGGGTTCTGTTTTAATGGTTTAATTGCATTTTAATAATCAAAAAGCATATCTAATCAATTGAATTCATGCAAATTTAGCGGTTTAATACTTTATTAGAATTTTTACCATTGCCCTATAATTGTAAAAAAAAAAATACTTTTAAACTATTACATTTTTTAATTTGTATGGAATATTAAATTTTTTCAGAAATTTTGTTTTCTATTTATTTACTTTTTATTACTGCGTTTTTATTTAATTTTATTAATTTTATTTTCATCTATATATATATATATATA